CAGAGGGCAGCAGAGGCGGGCAACAGAGGGCAGTAGCATGCAGCAGAGGCGGGCAACAGAGGGCAGTAGCATGCAGCAGAGGGCAATAGCGGGCAGCAGAGGGCAGCAGAAGCGGGCAGAAGAGAGCCGTAGCATGCAGCAGAGGCGGGCAACAGAGGGCAGTAGCTGGCAGCAGAGGCTGGCAGCAGGGGGCAGTAGCAGGCAGCAGAGGCGGCAGAGGGCAGCAAAGGGCGTTAGCGGGCAGCAGAGGCTGGCAGCAGAGGGCAGTAGCAGGAAGCAGAGGGCAGCAGAGGGCAGGAGCAGGAAGCAGAGGGCAGTAGCAGTCAGCAGAGGCGGCAGAGGGCAGCGCATCAACACGCATTGCAGCACCGCGCTTCTTTGCTCCCAGATTTTTTGAATTCTCCAAAAGTATTTCATGATGAGCTGCACAAAAATCTAGCAACCGTTGTTATTAAGCTGATCTGGCCCATGTCTTCCAATCACTCCAGACCTGGGTGCTAGCATCATAACCAACTCGGGCATTGAAGTCACCCAACAAGATGACTCTGTCCCAAGGGGCCACTTTAGCCAGCACCTGTGACGAGAGGTCATAGAAGGCATCTGACTCATCGGCCTTGCCTGCATCCCTCTACGGATTTTCGTCTTCGGTGGGGGCATAAGTAACCACGACCACCACTCCTCGCCTCCGGTTGATGGGAAGGCGAGCCCAAAGTAGCCTGGGACTTACAGCTTCCCACACCTCACCGCCACGCTCCCACGCCCCCTTCATTCGTTTATTCAGAAGAAGAGCCACTCCCTGTTGTTTGGCAGTCTCCTGCCCCGAGTAGAGGACTGTCCACGCCTCGTGGTGGCAGGAGCCAGAGCCGGTCCACCGGACCTCCTGAATACCACAGAGATCCAGGCGGTTCCGGTCCAGCTCCTGACAGAGGAGTGGCAGCCTCTACTCCGCAGTGAGCGTTTGAACATTCCACGTAGCCATCCGAAGTGGCTTTTTGTTGTTTCTGGAGGAGCCCCGAGGGTGAGGATTCAGTCTCCTGGCTCTGCCAAATGGGGTTTGGCCAGGAGACGTCATAGACGCCTGTCCCCCCGGGTCCTCCGGCACAAGCTTAATAAGTTTTTTACATCGTAGTTTAGTGGTAGTTAATTAACTACGATGTCTGGCAGACGAACCCGGTGACACGATCTACCTTTGCCCCCACATAAGTAACCCTGGGGGGAGGGGTCGGTGATTTCACTCACCTATTAATAAACTTAGTTTCATTTTACCAGGTAAGGTCCACTGAGCTATACAGCGACCTGACCACAAGTGATAGCCCAACGAAGCGGCTCATCATCATCATCACGTAGAAATGTGATAGCAGCCAAATACTCTAAACGCGTGACGTTGATTTTAAATGTGCAGGGAAAACCTGGAGGACCCGGATAAAAATCCACGCGACCATGGGGGAGAGAGAGAGAGACACGCAAACTCCAAATATACAACAGCAAGCGTCAGGGTCGGGATCGAGCCCACGCCCTCCTGTATACCAGGCGAGGTAGTCAACATCTCCTAGCCACCGTGATGATGATGAGGGAGACACGCAAACTCCAAATATACAGCAGGCGTCGTCAGGGTCGGGATCGAACTCACGACTTCCTGCACACCAGGCGATGTAGTTAACATCTCCTAGCCACCAAGTTAAACACGTGTTTAACGTGGTGGCTACGAGATGTTTAACACGTGTTTGACACAAATCGTTAAGCGGCCAGCAACGAACGGCACCGTCACGGTTACCACGGTTTCAGGATGCACCGCGTTTGTGGAATCGAGCAAGATCGTCACGGTCAGAGCTTGGGAGAAAAAGACGCTGGCAGGGAATTCCAAGGTGGAGCTACCTGGATCTCCTTGAGCTACTTGGGTCCCCTTGATCTACCCGGGGCGCCCTGGAGCTACCTGGGCCTCCTGAGCGTGCTCCGAGCCTTGCGGCAGCGGCAGCAGCAGCAGCAGTGCGCCCCACTCCCGCGCCGTGAGAGCAGCTGGTAGATGAGCGGGTTGTACATCGCGGCCGACTTGGCGAACATCGTGGGCACCAAGGACACCGCGACGGGGACCGAGTCGGGGGCGCCGAACGCCGACCAGACGCTCACCACGGCGTACGGAATCCAGGCGAGCAGGAAGCCAGCGCAGATCATCATCGCCACCTGCAACCACGTGGGCACACGGTGGGGAACGAGGGTGGAGGGGACGGGGGTTCGAGGGGATGGGGGTAGAGGTTGGGGTTGGGTAGAGGTTGGGGTAGAGGTTGGAATAGGGGTTTGGGTAGAGGTTGGGGTGGAAATTTGGGTTGGGGTCGAGGTTGGAGTAGAGGTTAGGGTAGAGATTTGGGTTGGGGTAGAGGTTGGGGTTGGGTAAGGGGTTGGGTAAGGGGTTGGGGTAGGGGTTGAGGTAGAGATTGGAGTAGAGGTTGGGGTAGAGATTTGGGTTGGGGTAGGGGTTGGGGTAGGGGTAGAGAGTGACAGTTGAAGTTGGGGTTGCGTAGAGAGTTCAAGAAGCTGTGGTGCTTTCCATCATCATCACAAATAAACATCACCACTATCACCACCCTCCCACCATCCCACTCATCATCACCACTACCTCCTCCCCCCTCCATTATCATCACCCCCACCATTCACTCACCAACACCACCACCCTTCATCATGATCATCAGCAGCACCACCACACATCCACCACCACCATCACCCATCATGATCACCACTACCACTTTCCCCATTATCACCCCCACCATTCACTCACCAACACCACCACCAACCACCCATCATCAGCACCACCACCCTCCCCCTCCATCATCATCATCACCACTCACCAACACCACCACCGGTACCCCTCCCTATCATCACCCCCACCATTCACTCGCCACCACCACCCATCATGAACACCACTACCACCTTCCCCTTCCATCATCATCACCACCACCACTCACCAACACCACCACCAACTACTCATCATCAGCACCACCACGCTCCCCCTCCATCATCATCATCACCACCACCGCCACTCACCAACACCACCACCAACACCCCTCCCTATCATCACCCCCACCATCCACTCACCACCACCACCCCTCCATCATCATCATCACCACCACCGCCACCACCGACACCCCACCCTATCATCACCCCCACCATCCACTCGCCACCACCACCCATCATCAGCACCACCACGCTCCCCCTCCATCATCATCACCATCACCACCGCCACTCACCAACACCACCACCGACACCCCTGCCTATCATCACCCCCACCATCCACTCGCCACCACCACGACCACCCATCCATCATCAGCACCACCACGCTCCCCCATCATCATCATCACCACCGCCACCATCGACACCCCTGCCTATCATCACCCCCACCATCCACTCACCACCACCACCAATCAGCACCACAACCCTCCACCACCACCGTCACCACCACCACCGCCACCACCACCACCTTGGTGATGCGCAGCTCGAGAGCCACTCCTCCTCCTCCTCCGCCGCGCGCGCGCCGCTCGAAGTGGGCGAGGTCGCGCGCGCTGCGACGCACGGCGCCCACGATGCGCGCGTACGCGAAGAGGATGGCGGCGGCGGGCAGCAGCAGGCAGAAGAAGAGCATGCAGAGCACGAACGAGCGGCCCGCCGCCGATGACTGCGCCAGCCACCAGTCGAGGGTGCACGACGTCCCGAAGGGCTCCGGCGCGTAGCTGCCCCAGCCCAGCAGCGGCATCGTGGCCCAGAAGGAGGCGTACGACCACACGGCCGCCACGCAGAGGAACGCGTGGCGGCGTCGCACCCACGTGCCTGGGGGGGGGGGGGCGGGTGGGGTGGGGGGTCACAGTGGACAGGTGAGAGGTGGGGGTGGCAGGTGGGGGGTGTCAGGTGGGGGGTGAGAGGTGGGGGGTGAGAGGTGGGGGGTGAGAGGTGGGGGGTGGCAGGTGGGGGGTGGCAGGTGGGGGGTGGCAGGTGGGGGGCGGTGAGAGGTGGGGGGTGGCAGGTGGGGGGTATCAGGTGGGGGGTGACAGTGGGGGGTGAGAGGGTGGGGGGTGAGAGGTGGGGGTGAGAGGTGGGGGGTGAGAGGTGGGGGGTGACAGTGGGGGGTGAGAGGTGGGGGGTGAGAGGTGGGGGGTGAGAGGTGGGGGGTGAGAGGTGGGGGGTGAGAGGTGGGGGGTGAGAGGTGGGGGGTGAGAGGTGGGGAGTGTCAGGTGGGGGGTGAGAGGTGGGGGGTGAGAGGTGGGGGGTGAGAGGTGGGGAGTGTCAGGTGGGGGGTGAGAGGTGGGGGGTGAGAGGTGGGGGGTGAGAGGTGGGGGGTGAGAGGTGGGGAGTGTCAGGTGGGGGGTGAGAGGTGGGGGGTGAGAGGTGGGGGGTGAGAGGTGGGGAGTGTCAGGTGGGGGGTGAGAGGTGGGGGGTGAGAGGTGGGGGTTGAGAGGTGGGGGGTGAGAGGTGGGGAGTGTCAGGTGGGGGGTGAGAGGTGGGGGGTGAGAGGTGGGGAGTGTCAGGTGGGGGGTGAGAGGTGGGGAGTGTCAGGTGGGGGGTGACAGGTGGGGGGTGTCAGGTGGGGGGTGTCAGGTGGGGGTGAGAGGTGGGGGTGTCAGGTGGGGGGTGAGAGGTGGGGGGTGAGAGGTGGGGGGTGACAGGTGGGGGGTGTCAGGTGGGGGGTGACAGGTGGGGGTGAGAGGTGGGGGGTGAGAGATGGGGGGTGTCAGGTGGGGGGTGAGAGGTGGGGGGTGAGAGGTGGGGGCTGTCAGGTGGGGGGTGACAGGTGGGGGGTGACAGGTGGGGGACAGGTGGGGGGCGAGAGGTGGGGGGTGAGAGGTGGGGGGTGAGAGGTGGGGGGTGTCAGGTGGGGGGTGACAGGTGAAAGGTGGGGGGTGACAGGTGAGAGGTGGCAGGTGAGAGGTGAGAGGTGAAAGGTGAGAGGTGACAGGTGAGAGGTGAAAGGTGAGAAGTGAAAGGTGAGAGGTGAAAGGTGAGAGGTGAAAGGTTAGAGGTGACAGGTGAAGCGGTGTCACGGTGGACGGGTGAGAGGTGACAGGTGGGGGGTGACAGTGGGGGGTGAGATGTGGGGGGTGAGAGGTGGGGGGTGAGAGGTGGGGGGTGACAGGTGGGGGGTGAGAGGTGGGGGTGTCAAGTGAGAGGTGATAGGTGACAGGTGAAAGATGAAAGGTGACAGGTGAAAGGTGAGAGGTGAAAGGTGAGAGGTGACAGGTGAAGCTGTGTCATGGTGGACGGGTGAGAGGTGACATGAGCGGTGGAATTGAAGGGCGGCTCTGACGGTGTCGGTGTGGCTCGTACTGTAGGCGATGTGGCAGATCTTGAGGTAGCGCTCGAAGCTGACCGTGGTGAGGGTGCCGAGGCTACCGCAGCCGAAGAAGAACCCCGTGAAGCCGTACCAGCGGCAGCCGGCACCGCCGAAGAGCCACTGGTGGGCGAAGCTGGACGCCGCCGAGAACGGCTTCCCCACCACTTCAAGGGGGTGGTGGGGTATGGGGGCACACACACGGATACTTACACACACACACACTTACACACACACGGACACTTACACACACACACGGATACTTACACACACACACGGATACTTACACACACACACGAATACTCACACACACGGACACTTACACACACACACGGAAATTTACACACACACACGGATACTGACATACACACACACGGAAACTTACACACACACACATACGGATACTTACACACACACACACGGATACTTACACACACACACGGATACTTACACACACACACACACGGATACTTACACACACACGCACACGGATACTTACACACACACACACGGATACTTACACACACACGCACACGGATACTTACACACACACACACGGATACTTACACACACACACACGGATACGTACACACACACACACGGATACTTACACACACACACGAATACGTACACACACAGATACTTACGCACACACACGGATACTTACACACACACACACTGATACTTACACACACACACACACGGATACTTACACACACACACACACGGATACTTACACACACACACACACAGATACTTACACAACACACACGGATACTTACACACACACACAGATACTTACACACACACACGGATACTTACACACACACACACGGATACTTACACACACACACACAGATACTTACACACACACACGGATACTTACACACACACACAGATACTTACACACACACACACACGGATACTTACACACACACACACGGATACTTACACACACACACACACGGATACTTACACACACACACGGATACTTACACACACACGGATACTTACACACACACGGATACTTACACACACACGGATACTTACACACACACACGGATACTTACACACACACGGATACTTACACACACACGGATACTTACACACACACACAGATACTTACACACACACACGGATACTTACACACACACACACGGATACTTACACACACACACAGATACTTACACACACACACACACACGGATACTTACACACACACACACGGATACTTACACCCACACGGATACTTACACACACACACACACGGATACTTACACACACACACACACATACGGATACTTACACACACACACACACGGATACTTACACCCACACGGATACTTACACACACACACACACGGATACTTACACACACACACACGGATACTTACACACACACACACGGATACTTACACACACACGGATACTTACGCACACGCACGGACACTTACACACACACGGATACTTACACACACACACACGGATACTTACACACACACGGACACTTAAACACACAAACACACGGATACTTACGCACACGCACGGACACTTACACACACACACACACGGATACTTACACACACACACACGGATACTTACACACACACACGGACACTTAAACACACAAACACACGGATACTTACGCACACGCACGGACACTTACACACACACGGATACTTACACACACACACACGGATACTTACACACACACACACACGGATACTTACACACACACACACACGGAAATTTACACACACACACGGACACTTACACACACACACGGACACTTACACACACACACACGGAAATTTACACACACACACGGACACTTACACACACACACACAAAGACAAAGACAAAGATCCCCCGTATAGCCTGAACAGACTGTAGGGGCAAGTGCTGTTAGCGAGCACCTATGAAGGCCGGAACGGTACACGAGGGGGTGGGTGGCCAGCACCACGCCCGACCGCCTTTGTCTCCCTAGTGGCGATGTTTACACACCGCACCAGGTACTCATTTAAGGCTGAGTCGACCTAGGGGAGGCCCAGGACCGGTTCAGATAATCGTCACTGGTGTTAGCCGTGAGCGGGAATCGAACCCGGGTCGCCAGGTTCATAGCGCAGCGCGCTAACCGCTACACTACCGCTCCCCACGTGGAACTACACACACAACAACAACAACCGCCATTCGCCACTAAGTGGCGGTGACGTCCCCACGACGCTTGTGCCAGGCCATGTGCATCTTGAGGCCACGTGAAGTGTCGAACGCCCGCTGGCAGGAGGTCACGGGGCAGACCCAGGTGCCACGGGTCGACTGACTGAGATGACCGAGATGACTGGCTGATGCACCACCTGTGCCCCCTTACTGTGCCAACTTGCTGTGCTTTAGCCACCCGGCGCTCCGCTCGTTGTTGTGACCGTCGCTCCTCCGCCCTCTGTTGTTGTTGGAGGGCGACTGCCTCCAACTGGCCAGTAGCGTCCTTCACCGGCTTCCTCCACAGAGGCCGATTTTGACACCGCTGGTACCAGTCATCGGCAAGTCCACTCAGCTCCACATCCTCCTGTACCACATTACTCCATCTCTTCTCTAGCCCGTGCCGCGCCAGTTTAGCCCCCTCGATCTGGCCGAACAAAAGCTGTTTAGGCATGCGGTGGCTGGGCATGCGGGCTACATGACACAGCCAGCGCAGCCTTGCCTGCCGAAAGGGACTTTGTCCACATCTTTCAAGGATTTGTGAGCTCACACAATCCAGCCTGGTTAAATCCAGGATGGGTCGTAGGTAGGCCAGCCTAAATGTTTCTAACCGGCAAAGATGTTCCATTAGGGGGTGCCACGTTTCGCAAGCGTAGAGAAGGGAGGGAAATGACCGTGGCTGAGAAGACCTAAAGCTTCGTGCGGAGCGACAGACCAGGTAGCTTCCACACAGCATTACGTAACCGATGAAAAGATAATGCCGGTCGGCTGATTCAGAGTGAGACCTCTGCTGTTAAACCGGAGCCGGTCATGAGCACACTGCCAAGGTATGGGAAACTCTCCACTCTCTCCACAACTGCCCTATCACCAATTGGGAGTTGTGGGGGTGGAATGTCCGATGGTACAAAATACCCAGGCAGGTGCTTAGTTTTGGTGGGGCTGATGGTAAGGCCCCACCTCTTAGTGGCACGCTCCAGTCTCAGCAGCAGCGTCTCCAACTCCTCTTCTGAATGAGCAGCTATTACCAAATCATCGGCATACATAACGTGGTTGAGCAATAGAGAGCCATCCTTTGACCGCACCCGGGCATCGATCAGCCTCCCATTATATCTGTACAAATGGAAATTCCTCCGGTACAGCTATTGAAGGCTTCACGAACTACGTGGTCAAAATAGATGTTAAATAATGTAGGACAAAGAAGACATCCCTGTCGCACCCCAAGGTGTACAGGGAATGGCTCTGACTCCCGGCCACGTAGTTTTTCCCGGGCCCGCTCACCATCATGAAGGTCGTGGTTTAGTGGTAATTCATTGAAGGTGGAGGGGTTACCAGCCTCTCGCAGCAGTCCAGAGCCCCCATTTGGCCGCTGTGGTGGTTACATACGTCATGAGTTGAGAAGGTCAATTCGAATTGGCTCTCTCCCCCCACCCACAGCACTCCCCACGACGGTATTGCCCGTTCGGCACCACGAGGAGGTAGGGGATTGTTTTGCCGGACGTAAACAACAACAACCGCCATTCGCCACTAAGTGGCGGTGACGTCACCACGACGCTTGTGCCAGGCCAAGTGCACCTTGAGGCTACCACGTGAAGTGTCGAACGCCCGCTGGCAGGAGGTCACGGGGCAGACCCAGCAGGTGCCACGGGTCGACTGACCGAGATGACCGAGATGACTGGCTGATGCACCACCTGTGCCCCCTACTGTACCAACTTGCTGTGCTTTAGCCACCCGTAAACACACACATATATACACACACATACACGGATACGTACACACACACACAGGATGATCCCCGAATCTCACCTGAGAGACAGAAGTCAGAGATGGCCAGGTTGACGGTGATGATCTCCGCCGGCTTGAGTTTGCGTTTGCGCATGAGGCATTGCGTGAGCACCAGCCCGTTACCCAGCAGAGACAGCACACCTACACACAGCACACACGGCACACGCAGTCAACATAGAGTACACACACCTACACACAGCACACACAGCACACGCAGTCAACACACAGCACACACACCTACACACACCTACACACAGCACACACGGCACACGCAGTCAACATAGAGTACACACACCTACACACACCTACACATAGCACACACAGCACACACAGTACACACATTGCACATAGAGCATACACACCTACACACAGAACACACAATACACACACCTACACACAGCACACACAGTACACACACCTACACACAGTACACATAGAGTACACAGTACACATAGAGCACACACACCTACACACAGCACACAGTACACATGTAGTACACACACCTACACACACCTACACACAGCACACGCAGTACACATATAGTACACAAACACACCTACACACAGCACACACATTACACATAGAGTACACACACCTACACACAGTACACATGAAGTACACACACCTACACACACCTACAAACAGCACACACAGCACACATGTAGTACAGGCACCTACACACACCTACATACAGCACACACAGCACACACACCTACACACACCTACACACACCTACAAACAGCACACACAGCACACATGTAGTACACGCATCTACACACACCTACACACAGCACACACAGTACACACAGCACACACAGCACACACACCTACACACAGCACACACAGCACACACAGTACACATGTAGTACACACACCTACACACACCTACACACATCACACACAGTACACACAGCACACACACCTACACACAGCTACACACAGCACACATGTAGTACACACACCTACACACACCTACACACAGCACACACATTACACATAGATTACATACACCTACACACAGTACACATGTAGTACACACACCTACAGACACCTACACACACCTACAAACAGCACACACAGTACACACAGCACACATTTAGTACACACACCTACACACAGCACACACACCTACACACAGTACACACAGCACACACAGCACACACACACCTACACACACCTACACACAGCACACACGGCACACGCAGTCAACATAGAGTACACACACCTACACACACCTACACATAGCACACACAGCACACACAGTACACACATTGCACATAGAGCATACACACCTACACACAGAACACACAATACACACACCTACACACAGCACACACAGTACACACACCTACACACAGTACACATAGAGTACACAGTACACATAGAGCACACACACCTACACACAGCACACAGTACACATGTAGTACACACACCTACACACACCTACACACAGCACACGCAGTACACATATAGTACACAAACACACCTACACACAGCACACACATTACACATAGAGTACACACACCTACACAGTACACATGTAGTACACACACCTACACACACCTACAAACAGCACACACAGCACACATGTAGTACACGCACCTACACACACCTACACACAGCACACACAGTACACACAGCACACACAGCACACACACCTACACACAGCACACACAGCACACACAGTACACATGTAGTACACACACCTACACACACCTACACACATCACACACAGTACACACAGCACACACACCTACACACAGCTACACACAGCACACATGTAGTACACACACCTACACACACCTACACACAGCACACACATTACACATAGATTACATACACCTACACACAGTACACATGTAGTACACACACCTACAGACACCTACACACACCTACAAACAGCACACACAGTACACACTGCACACATGTAGTACACACACCTACACACAGCACACACACCTACACACAGTACACACAGCACACACAGCACACACACCTACACACAGCACAACAAGCACACACGGCACACGCAGTCAACATAGAGTACACACACCTACACACACCTACACACACCTACACACAGCACACATAGAGTACACACAGTACACACAGCACACATAGAGTACACACAGTACACACAGCACACATGTAGTACACACACCTACACACACCTACACACAGCACACATAGAGTACACACAGTACACACAGCACACATGTAGTACACACACCTACACACAGCACACACAGCACACATAGAGTACACACAGTACACACAGCACACATAGAGTACACATAGTACACACAGCACACATGTAGTACACACACCTACACACAGCACACACAGCACACATAGAGTACACACAGTACACACAGCACACATGTAGTACACACACCTACACACAGCACACACAGCACACATAGAGTACACACAGTACACACAGCACACATAGAGTACACATAGTACACACAGCACACATGTAGTACACACACCTACACACAGCACACACAGCACACATAGAGTACACACAGTACACACAGCACACATGTAGTACACACACCTACACACACCTACACACAGCACACACAGTACACACATTACACACAGTACACATGTAGTACACACACCTACACACAGCACACATAGAGTACACACAGTACACACAGCACACACACCTACACACAGCACACACAGTACACACAGCACACACAGTACACACAGCACAACCACATGTTACACACGCGTAGTAATCGTGATAATGAATCTGCTCATGTTGCACCGTGCATCAAAACCACCTCCAGGCGCTTAACATCAATGACAATGGGGGGGGGGGGTGGGAGGGGTGGGGGGGATAAGATCCCAACCGAAGTGACTATGTGACGTAACTATGGGATGTAACTATGTGACGTAACTACGTGACGTAACTACGAGACGTAACTACGTGACGTAACTACGTGACGTAACTACGTGACGTAACTACGGGACGTAACTACGAGACGTAACTACGTGACGTAACTACGGGACGTAACTACGTGACGTAACTACGTGACGTAACTACGAGACGTAACTACGTGACGTAACTACGTGACGCAACTACGGGACGTAACTACGTGACGTAACTGCGTGACGTAACTACGGGACGTAACTACGAGACGTAACTACGTGACGTAACTACGTGATGTAACTAAGAGACATGACTGTGGGATGTATCTATGGGATGTAACTTTTGTTTTGTCTCTCTCTCAAATGTAGCAATCTTTGGAAGAACGTAATCAACCAGGTGGGGTGTTGACTGTTGTGTTGGCCCACTCTCTGTGTTGTATTGCATTATATTTCTAGGTTTACTACGTTTGTTTTCTCATTCAATTGTACCTGATGATGGTTGCTTGTGTTGCAATCAAAACGTCGTATTCTATTATTATTTAATTTATTTCTACGTGACTTTACCGAAAGAACCAAAGAATGATACTCTGGGTGAACCCGAGAGGGCACGTGACCAGGACAGGGTAGCGGGGGGGGGGGGGGCCCAAGGGGGGCGAGCGGGACACGTGACATGCAGCCGAGAACCTTCTGGTAGGATCCAGAAGGGGGCGTGGCGGTGGGCGGAGCCAGGCCACGCTCAGGCGCATATAAGGGGGGTCCCGAGAGCCGGTCCGTGCTGTTGTCTGGAGTCAACCAGCCGCAGAGGTCGCAAACGGGTTTTTATTCCTTACCCGTACCCGGCCGCACCAGGGTCGCAAATGGGTAGCCGTACCCGTACCCGGCCGGGTACGGGTACTCGTTCCCTACCCGTACCCTACCCGAAATGAGTGACAAACGGTTACTCACCAGTGACTCACGGCCTACCCGTACCCGTACCCGGCCGCACCAGGGTCACAAACGGGTACCCGTACCCGTACCGTACGGGTAGCCGGGTATCGGGTAGGGTACGGGTATCGGGTACCCGGTTGTGACCTCTGACCAGCCGTCCTTCGTCTCTTCGGTCTTCGATCTTCGGTCTTCGATCGTTACCCCGTTGTGGTCTTAGTTACACGTGGTGGTCATCACATTATTTGTTATCCCGTACGTTGATGCAGTTGCCCTGTCGGGGTGTGGCGATTAACGTGTTGACTCCAAGTTGAAGTGTGTGTCGCCGTGGAACCCACTACGTAACCATGTGCACACACGACATATACACAGCTGCACATGAACACACAACAGTGATACATACAGAGTACATACACACAGTACACACAGTACACGTTGATACATAGCACACATACACAATAGAAACACACACAAAGACTAAACTAAGATCCCCCATGTAGCCTTTAGCAGACTGTTGGGGAAAGTGCTGTTAGCGAGCACCTATTGAGGCAGGGGCGGTACACGAGGGGGTGGATGGTCAACACCACGCCCGGCCGCCTTTGTTTCCCCAGTGCGGATACTTTACACACCACACCAGGTACTCATTTGAGGCTGAGTAGACTTAGAGGAGACCATGGACTGGTTCAGATACAATCGCAACTGGTGTTGGCCGTGATCCTGCAGCAGGATTCCGTAGCATTGCATTGCGCTAACCACAGCGCCACCACTCCCCGGAGTAATGACACACGCGGAGCACAGGCGAGGCGGTAGGTGGGTAGTTGGGTAGGTGGGTAGTTGGGTAGGTGGGTAGGTAGGTTGTTGAGTAGGTGGGTAGTTGGGTAGGTGGGTAGGTGGGTAGTTGGGTAGGTGGGTAGTTGGGTAGGTGGGTAGGTGGGTAGTTGGGTAGGTGGGTAGTTGGGTAGGTGGGTAGGTAGGTTGTTGAGTAGGTGGGTAGTTGGGTAGGTGGGTAGGTGGGTAGTTGGGTAGGTGGGTAGGTGGGTGGGTGGGTAGGTGGGTTGTTGTGTAGGTGGGTAGGTGGGTTGTTGAGTAGGTGGGTAGTTGGGTAGGTGGGTAGGTGGGTAGTTGAGTAGGTGGGTAGTTTGGTAGGTGGGTAGTTGAGTAGGTGGGTAGTTTGGTAGGTGGGTAGTTGGGTAGGTGGGTAGTTGAGTAGTTGGGTAGGTGAGTTTGTGGGTAGATGGGTAGTTGGGTAGGTGGGTTTGTGCGTAGGTGGGTAGGTGGGTAGTTGAGTAGGTGGGTAGTTGAGTAGGTGGGTTTGTGGGTAGGTGGGTAGTTGAGTAGGTGGGTAGTTTGGTAGGTGGGTAGTTTGGTAGGTGGGTAGTTGGGTAGGTGGGTAGTTGGGTAGTTGGTTAGTTGAGTAGGTGGGTAGTTGGGTAGGTGGGTAGTTGGGTAGGTGGGTAGTTGGGTAGGTGGGTAGGTGGGTACGTGGGTAGGTGGGTAGGTGAGTAGGTGGGTAGTTGGGTAGGTGGGTAGGTGGGTAGGTGGGTAGGTGGGTAGTTGAGTAGTTGGGTAGGTGGGTAGTTGGGTAGGTGGGTAGTTGGGTAGGTGGGTAGTTAAGTAGGTGGGTAGGTGGGTAGTTGGGTAGTTGGGTAGGTGGGTAGTTGAGTAGGTGGGTAGTTGGGTAGGTGGGTTTGTGGGTAGGTGGATCGGTGAGTAGTTGGGTAGGTGGGTAGGTGGGTAGTTGGGTAGGTGGGTAGTTGGGTAGGTGGGTAGTTGGGTAGGTGGGTAGATGGGTAGGTGGGTAGTTGGGTAGGTGGGTAGGTGGGTAGGTGGGTTTGTGGGTAGGTGGGTAGGTGGGTAGTTGGGCAGTTGGGTAGGTGGGTAGTTGGGTAGGTGGGTAGGTGGGTAGGTGGGTTTGTGGGTAGGTGGGTTGTGGGTAGTTGGGTAGGTGGGTTTGTGGGTAGGTGGGTAGGTGGGTAGTTGGGTAGGTGGGTAGTTGAGTAGGTGGGTAGGTGGGTTTGTGGGTAGGTGGCTAGTTGGGTAGGTGGGTAGGTGGGTAGTTGGGTAGGTGGGTCGGTGGGTAGGTGGGTAAGTGGGTAGGTGGGTAGGTGGGTAGTTGGGTTTGTGGGTAGTTGGGTAGGTGGGTAGGTGGGTAGGTGGGTAGTTGAGTAGGTGGGTAGGTGGGTAGGTGGGTTTGTGGGTAGGTGGGTAGTTGAGTAGGTGGGTAGGTGGGTAGTTGAGTAGGTGGGTAGGTGGGTAGGTGGGTTTGTGGGTAGGTGGGTAGTTGAGTAGGTGGGTAGGTGGCTTACATATCGACGTGAGGTAGACGCCAGCCACCATGTCGGCCACTGGAGACAGCTTGGAGCGGAAGGGGTCCGGGCTCAGGGCGCCGTGCTGCGTTGAGACCGCAGGGTCGTAGTCGGGGTCCGACTGGTTCGCCATCGGGGGTACGGGGGGGGGGTCCTAGGAAACCCAGAAGACAACAACTCTGTTAGGCGTCTACCACCCTGCCCTCCCCCCCTCTCTATTTTTTTTTACGATCATTGAAAACAAGAAGATGCTCGGTGTAGACGACACTTTGCTTCGTTCATCATTTGGTAACTTTTTTTTACTTTGCTTTATGTAAACTCCCACCTCTCGCTCACTCTCTCACTCACTCTCTCGCTCACTCTCTCGCTCACTCTCTCGCTCACTCTCTCGCTCACTCTCTCGCTCACTCTCTCGCTCACTCTCTCGTTCACTCTCTCGCTCACTCTCTCGCTCACTCTCTCGCTCTCTCTCTCGCTAACTCTCTCGCTCACTCTCTCGGTCACTCTCTCGCTCACTCTCTCTCTCTCTCTCTCACCACCGTCGGGTGCGGCTGCGTTTCACCTGAGCTCCTGCCCCAACGTTGGTGTGGATGGGGGCCTGGGCTCAGGCCGCGAGAGAGTTTCATACCGCCGAATAACCAAAGGACGATACTTTCATCCCTCGTTTTCGGTTTTCATCTTTATTCCCCCCACTCCCTTATTTGGCTTTTCCCAGTTTTTTCTTTATTTTCCTTTTTTTTGGTCCGCCGAGCTCGTCGACCGAAAGTCACGGTCGTTCGACTCGCGGCGAGATTTCTTTTGTGCGGATTTTTTCCTTTTCCCCTTCCACACGCGCACGCGGGACGACGCACACGCGGCGCGACTTAACAAAGCAACGGCAACAACGACAACAACGACAACAACGACAACATTTACGAAAGCAGCACCGCCAGCGAACGCCCAACGACACAGCGCAAAGGTACTCTGCCACCACCATCATGGCGCAGCGCCAGCGCGCGGAAGAGGAGGACGCGAGGATGCTGAGCCTCACGCGGAGGAACGGCCTCGTGGCTTTCCCTCCACCTGAGGTGACAGCCGATGCTGTCGCCGGCGCGGTGGCCGCGTGCGTCGGCTCCGCCGGCGTCTTGGCCGTCCAGCGCCAAAACCGCGGCGTCACCGTGTTCGTGGCGGAGGAGGAGATGGTGGCGCGAGTCGTGGAGAAGGGGCTCACGGTGGGGGAGCTGTTTGTGCAGTGCGCCCCGCTCGCCTCGCCCGCGGTCCGCGTGCTGCTCTCCGGCACGCCGCCGTACCTCTCCAACGCCGAGCTGCGCGTCGACCTGCAGCGCTTCGGCACGGCCGTGTCGAGCATCACAACACTGCCCATGAGAACGAGCAACGCAGCACTCACCCATGTCAAGGCACTACAGCGCCAAGTTTTTATGGTCCTGAAGAATGGGGCCGAAGAACTTGACGTTACACTCAAATACACCATAAACAAAAGCACTTACACGGTGTATGCCTCTTCGGTTGGGCTCCGATGCTACGGGTGTGGCAAACCGGGCCACGCCCGTAGAAACTGCCCGAGCAAGGTGAGCGGGTTGGTCGCGCCACCTGCCGCGGCGATGCCGGGACAATGGGTCCGACCGGAGGAGCAGCAACAGCCGCAGCAACAACACCAAGGGCAGCAGCAGCAACAACAAAAGCAGCAGCAGCCGCAGCAGCAGCAACAAAAACAGCAGCAGCAGCCGCAGCAGCAGCAGCAGCAGCCGCAGCAACAGCAACAGGAGCAGCAGCAGCAGCAGCAACAAAAACAGCAGCAGCAGCCGCAGCAGCAGCAGCAGCAGCCGCAGCAACAGCAACAGGAGCAGCAGCAGCAGCCGCAGCAGCAGCAACAAAAACAGCAGCAGCAGCCGCAGCAGCAGCAACAAAACAGCAGCAGCAGCAGCAGCAGCCGCAGCCGCAGCAGCAGCAACAAAAACAGCAGCAGCAGCCGCAGCAGCAGCCGCAGCAGCAGCAGCAGCAGCAGCCGCAGCAACAGCAACAGGAGCAGCAGCAGCAGCAGCAGCCGCAGCAGCAGCAGCAGCCGCAGCAACAGCAACAGGAGCAGCAGCAGCAGCCGCAGCAGCAGCAGCAGCAGCCGCAGCAACAGCAACAGGAGCAGCAGCAGAAGCAGCAGCAGCCGCAGCGGCGGCAGCCGACGCAGCAGCAGCAACAGCAGCGGCAGCAGCAGCAACAGCAGCCGCAGCAGGACGAGTGCCAGGACCGGCGGGAGAGGCAGGTCACCAGCCACGACCCGCCGGGAGCGCAACCAGCCAACGACGCGCAGGCGCGGGGGGACGACTCCGCCGGCTTCGTAGTGGTCGAGGGGAGTCGTAAGAAGCAAAGGGCAAAGAGGAAGGCGAAGAACGGGCACGTGGAGGTGGAGGGCGAAGGCGCCCCCCCGAAGCGCACGGCCGGCATCGAGAGAGACGCGGCGAGGCCGCCCGTCGATGCTGAGAACGAGGCGCGAGGGGAGGAGATGGACCTTGGAGGAACCATCACCCCCCCCACCCCCCCCACCCCCCCCACCCCCCCCACCCCCCCCACCCCCCCCACCCCCCCCACCCCCCCAGTGACGGACACCTGTGGCAGCGACGGAGGTGCGCTGCAGCCGGCGACGACGGCGGCCGAGGGAGCGCCCGTCGAGCCGGGTGACGAAAGTCGCCCCGGTCCGAGCGGCGTCCTGGACCCACGGTGGTGGGCAGGTGACGCTGACCCCGGGGGTGGCCGCGCCGAGCGCGCGGATGCCGGCGCGGGTGGAGGCGGCGGCGGCGGCGGCGACGATGACGACTGCGGCGCCCCGGGAGGAGGCGGCGACGACAACGGCGTAGACGACGACGCCTACACCGTGCATGAGGGCGACGGGGGCAGCGTCTGCGGAAGCGAGTGGAGCTGCAGCCCGGTAGAACCGGACAGAAAGATGCCCGCGCAGGCCATCCTGGCCTTTTTTAGGGAAAATTATGGCAAGAGGGTGGTGCCCCATAAGGTCTTCCCGGACGCGGACGCGTTCCTCTCCACGGCGCAGGAGATCTGCCGGCGGCCGGCAGAGTACGGCTGCACCCCGAGGGAGCGCTACCGCATCAAGGGTATGATGACGAGGCTGCGGGGCAAGGAGAAGGTGGCCTCAAAAGTGGCCTCGAGGGTGCCGGCGTGCGTGGACCTCCCCTGAAAGCCGCGATGGGGCCAGGATTGATTGTTGCAACCATAAACTGCAACGGACTGCGCAGCGAGGACCGGTGGCGCCGCCTGTGCAGGCTCCTCGACGACCAAGCGGTCGACGTAGCCTTGATTCAGGAAACCCACCTGGACGCCGCGCTACACCCGAGCCGCCAGCAGATGCTGCACGGGCGTTCCTTTTTTTTAGCAACGGCGTGGACGGGGCGGCGGGGGTCGCGGTGGTGTGCTCCCGGACTTTCGCCCCAGACGCCCTGACGTATCGGGAGATAGTGGCTGGCCACCTCGTCGTGGCGGACATGGTGCTCGCCGGCACCAAGACCCACGTGATTAACGTGTACGCGCCAGCAGGTCGAGGGACAGGGCTGAGTTCTTCAAAGGAGAATTACGGCGGGTGGTGGCGGAGACCGGCGGCGACGAGGGAGCGGTCACGGTCGTGGCGGGAGACTTTAATTGCACACTCCAACCCTCCCTGGATCGGACTGGGCCGGAACCGCACCCCGAATCGGCGAGAGAGTGGGCGGCCGTCGTGGCTGACAACGGACTTTTGGACGCGTGGCGGCTCCAAAACCTGGGCCGGCGCCAGTACACTTGGAGCAGGTGCGGTGCGGGAGGGCGGCCGAGCCTGGCCAGGCTGGATCGGATGTACGTCGCGCCGGGGGGGGCCAGCCTGCTCGGTGAGAGCGGGGTAATCCCCACCGGCTTCTCCGACCACCACATGGTGCACGTGCGCCTGCATCTCCCTCACGGCGGGCAAGGGCGCCCGTATTGGAGGTTGAACGTGGACCTGTTGGACGACGGTGGGTTTCTGGCGGCTTTCCGGGCCTTGTGGAAGGTGTGGGAGGGGAGACGGGGCCGTTTCGCCACACTCCAGCAGTGGTGGGACAACGGGAAGGCCCAGGTGGGGGTGCTGGCAAGGGCCTACATGGGCCAACGCGTGGCGGCCCGGCGTGAGGAGGAGGAGGTTCTCCGGGCCCGGGTGTTGGTGGTGGAGGAAGCATTGGGCCACCACCCCGCCGCCGACGGCTGCAGGGAGCTGCGGCAACAACAGCGGCTCCTGAGGGCCGTCTCAGACAACGACGCGTACAGGGGGTTTGTGGGCCGGAAAATGACCCACCTGTACAGCATGGACGCGCCGACAAAAGCCTTTTTCAGGCAGGGGGCCACGCGGGCCCAGCGAACCGACATTACCAGCCTGACGGGGCCGGACGGGGAGACCCAGTGCGACGGGGAGGGAATCATGCGCCTCGTCAACGGTACTACGGCCAGCTATTGCTGAGAGGGAGTTGCCGGGGAGGGCGGGTGGCGGAAATTCCTAGAGGGCGTCCCCAGTTTGGCTTCGTCTGACACCAACGGCCCTGGACGAGCAGGTCACCCTGCCAGAGCTGGAGGCCGCGGTGAGGAGTCTCGCCGCGGGGAAGGCCCCCGGTATAGACGGCCTCCCTGCCGAGGTGTACACGACCTCTCTGGC